TCCTGGGGGGCTGCGATCTGCGAAACCGTCGTTACTTTCGAGGACTGCTGGTGGGTCCCGCGGAGTGAGGCACCGGGCAGATCTGAGCGAGACCTCGCCGTCCCTGGGGGCTGCGATCTGCGCAGCCGTCGCCACGTTCGAGGGCTGCCGGTGGGTCCAGCGGACAGGCACCGCGCAGATCTGAGCTGGACTTCGCCCTCCTTGGGGGGGGCTGCGATCTGCGAAGCTGTCGCCACGTTCGAGGGCTGCCGGTGGGTCCACCGAAAAGAGGCAGCGCGCAGATCTGAGTGGGACCTCGCCGTCCTGGGGGGGCTGCGATCTGCGAAACTGTCGCCACGTTCGAGGGCTGCTGGTGGGTCCAGCGGACAAAGAAACCGCGCAGATTTGAGCTGGACTTCGCCCTCCCTGGGGGCTGCGATCTGCGAAGCTGTCGCCACGTTCGAGGGCTGCTGGTGGGTCCAGCGAAGAGAGGCACCGCGCAGATCTGAGCGAGACCTCGCCGTCCCTAGGGGGGCTGCGATCTGCGAAGCCGTCGCCACTTTCGAGGGCTACTGGTGGGTCCAGCGGAGTGACGCACCGCGCAGATCTGAGCGGGACCTCCCCGTCCCTGGGGGGTTGCGGTCTGCGAAATTGTTCCCTTTTTCGAGGGTTGCTTGTGTGTCCAGCGGAGTGAGGCACCGCGCAGATCTGAGCAAGACCTCGCCGTCCCTGGGGGCTGCGATCTGCGAAACTGTCGCCACGTTCGTGGCAGATCTGAGCTGGACCTCGCCGTGTCTAGGGGGGCTGCGATCTGCGAAACCGTCGCCACGTTCGAGGGCGGCTGGTGGGTCCAGCGGAAAGAGGCACTGCGCAGATCTGAGCGGGACCTCGCCGTCCCTGGGGGTTGCGGTCTGCGAAACGGTCGCCACGTTCGAGGGCTGCTGGTGGGTCCAGCGGAATCAGGCACCGCGCAGATCTGAGCTGGACCTCGCCCTCCCTGTGGGCTGCGATCTGAGAAGCCGTCGCCACGTTCGAGGGCTGCTGGTGGGTCCAGCGGACAGGCACCGCGCAGATCTGAGCTGGACTTCGCCCTCCCTGGGGGCTGCGATCTGCGAAGCTGTCGCCACGTTCGAGGGCTGCTGGTGGGTCCAGCGGAGTGAGGCAGCGCGCAGATCTGAGCGAGACCTCGCCGTCCCTGGGGGGGCTGCGATCTGCGAAAGCGTCGCCACTTTCGAGGGCTGCTGGTGGGTCCAGCGGAGTGAGGTACCGCGCAGATCTGAGCAAGACCTCGCCGTCCCTGGGGGCTGCGATCTGCGAAACTGTCGCCACGTTCGTTGGCGAATGGTGGGTCCAGCGGAGTGAGGCACTGCGCAGATCTGAGCTGGACCTCGCCGTGTCTAGGGGGGCTGCGATCTGCGAAGCCGTCGCCACTTTCGAGGGCTGCTGGTGGGTCCAGCGGAGTGAGGTACCGCGCAGATCTGAGCTGGACTTCGCCCTCCCTGGGGGCTGCGATCTGCGAAACTGTCGCCACGTTCGTGGGCGAATGGTGGGTCCAGCGGAGTGAGGCACTGCGCAGATCTGAGCTAGACCTCGCCGTCCCTGGCGGGCTGCGATCTGCGAAGCCGTCGCCACGTTCGAGGGCTGCTGGTGGGTCCAGCGGAGTGAGGTACTGCGCAGATCTGAGCAAGACCTCGCCGTCCCTGGGGGGCTGCGGTCTGCGAAATTGTTTCCTTTTCCGAGGGCTGCTGGTGGGTCCAGCAGAGTGAGGCACCGCGCAGATCTGAGCTAGACCTCGCCGTCCCTGGCGGGCTGCGATCTGCGAAATTGTCGCACTTTGAAGGGCTGCTGGTGGGTCCAGCGGAGTGAGGCACCGCGCAGATCTGAGCGAGACCTCGCCGTCCCTGGGGGGCTGCGATCTGCGAAACCGTCGCCACTTTCGAGGGCTGCTGGTGGGTCCAGCGGAGTGAGGCACCGCGCAGATCTGAGCGGGACATCGCCGTGTCTTGGGGGGTTGCGGTCTGCAGCATTGTTTTCCTTTTCGAGGGTTGCTGTCAGCGGAGTGAGGCACCGCGCAGATCTGAGCGCGACATCGCCGTCCTGTGGGGCCTGCGATCTGCGAAACTGCCTCTTTTTTCGAGGTCTGCTGGTTTGTCCAGCGGGTTGAGGCACCGCGCAGATCTGAGCGGGACCTCGCCGTCCCTGGGGGGCTGCGATCTGCGAAACCGTCGCCACGTTCGAGGGCTGCTGGTGGGCCAGCATCGCGATCTACGAAACTGTCGCCACTTTCGAGGGCTGCTGGTGGGCCCAGCGGAGTGAGGCACCGCGCAGATCTGAGCGGGACCTCGCCGTCCTTGGGGGGGTACGATCTGCGAAACTGTCGCCATTTTCGAAGGCTGCTGGTGGGTCCAGCGGAGTGAGGCACCGCGCAGATCTGAGCGGGACCTCGCCGTCCCTGGGGGGGGTGTCATTTGCGAAACCCTCGTCATTTTCGAAAGCTGGTGGCGGGTCCAGCGGAGTGAGG